GAGACGGTGAGTTCTAGTCCCACCTGAGGCATGAAAGCCGGCTGGGTGACTTTGGGCCAGTCATTCTCCCTCAGCCCAACTCACCTCACAGGGTTGTTGTTGTGGGGAAAACAGGAGAAGGATGAAGTATTAAGTATGTTCACCGCTTTGAGTTATTTATAAAAATAAGAAAAGCGGGATAAAAATTTTTTTTAAAAAAAACCAAAATTATATAAAGCTATCATAAGAGTTAAAAAAAGAAATCTTTATTCCCACTATGCACCTGAAACAGAATATTCACTGAATCATTTAAATACAGATAAAGGGAGCAAGATGAAACACTTGGTATATTACAAGCCTTTCAACTGAAGCACTTGCAACAATTTATTTATTCCATGCATTTATAAGGCTGCCCAACTCAATTCTTAAATGTCTTAAATAAACATTAAGAAAACATACCACACATCATTAAAAAAATAGCCCAGTACTTAAAATGGGGAACCAAACAGGATAATTAAAATAGCCATAAGAGGACTCTTCCACCCTCCCCTCCGGACCCAAATGCCTGAAGAAAAGCCAGGTTTCAGCCACTTTTCTAAAGGCAAGCAGTGTTGGGGCTGGTCATATATCGGGCAGGAGATCATTCCAGAGAAACCTGCGTGTTCCATTAAGGCAACCCGCAGTAATGTATATAATGATTCTGACTCATTAAGTCAGCAATGTTTTTAAGTTTCGTTCTTGATTATGTAATACAAAATCAAATGTAGCTATGGAGGAAAGAATGAACAAACGAACGAAAGCAGGCAGGCAGCTCTTCCTAAGATTATGCACGCTCAATATGTTTCCAAGAAATTAAATACATATAATTAAAACTCTGGAAACAGGAAAAGCTCCCAGACTAATTGGTTAGTGGGAGTGATATAAGACATATACTGAACTCTTTCCTTCAATACTATTGGAGGTCTATTAACGATGTCTTTTTGAATAAAAATTTTCAAACCTCTTTCAGTGAGGCTTACACAATTATTTTTAAATGATACAGAACCTGCTGACTATGAAAGCCATCCTCAAGTTTCCTGGTTAAATGCTGATTCAAAAATATTGACAGAAACCTTGTCACGGATATTACAGACGATATTACCTACTACTATTGCAGGCCCTGAAAACTTGGTTCTGCCATCGGGCCTGGGTAACCCATGGAAATATGGAGCCCGCAAAATGGCTGCATTGTAAGATTCTGAATGCACCCTTCCATGGATTTTTGTTTTATATTTATAGTTTTTAATTGTTTTGTTTCTAACAGTTTCGTCCTAATTATTTTTTGTTTCCGTTATTTTAATTGCGTGCACCGCCCAGAGTAACATATGGGTGGCTATATAAATTCAATAAATAAATAAATTATCCATTCCACAAAATCTGATTTTATAAAAGGTTGCCAAGTAACTGATAATATTAGATTAGAAATGAACGTTCTGGATGTACATTCAAAAAAATTGAAATCAGCAGAGACAGATTTACTGGATGAGGAAGAAGCCTTTGATTTGGTGCACTAGAAATTTAGGAAAAACATTTTGTATAAATATGGATTTTTTTGTTTTATTAACTGGATCAATACTTCTTCCTGGTTTAATAATTGGATTGACTCTTCCACTAGGGATACTACAAATGGAATTATCTCTTCATTTATCAAAATATTTTGTGAAGCAGCATTTAAATCTCCTGAATTATTTTCAATATTGGAACATGTTTTGGATGATTTTAGGTCTACAGTATTTTTAAAAGAATCACTAAGGAGTATCACTAAGGTGGGAATGGTTATTTGCAAAAACTCTAAAGAACTGGAATATCATTAACAAAGCAAAGGCTAAGAGTCTTAAAGAATATTAAGCATGCTTCTTATAAGATGATACATTCGACTAAACATTTTTATATTTATTGGATGCCCTAGAGAATACTTAAAAAATGAGGCTGTCAATCTCACTATGTTGGAAGTATACAATGGGGGAGCAGATAATTTCTCATCTGATATGGGCTTCTCCGTCTACTGCCGTATTTTGGTTTAATATACGTAAGTTTGTTCATATAGTATTACAATCACTGATATCATTTAAAGATGTGAATATCATTTTTAATAAAATGTGGAATTTATCACTATATAAAGATATATGGATTTATCAAGCATGGGGGCATAGTAATAAATGTTATTTTTCAATGTTAGAAAGGGATCCCTATCCCAGATATACCAACTTGAATCAATGATGTTCACATTCTGATTATGAACTGGCTCATCTCTTGATGTAAAGGAAAGATTGTATTATTCCTCGTGGTCAAGGTTTCACAATGTGCTTAAAAATTCGGCTTAATTACATTCTTTACTTGGAATGTATTACTATTTCTTGTATCTTTCTTCTCTTTTTGTTCTTTTTAATTTTTTTCTTTTCCCTCCTTTTTGTATATTAAAGTAATATTTATTTTTTTTAAAAAAGTTATTTTTTGTGCAAGTTCTTTTGACAAGAACTGCCATGCAATTTTTTTTTTTTTTTTTAGAAATTATCTCAAGCTAGTTAGCGGACGTAAATATGTTTCAGCGTGGAGCTACCATATATCATGTGAAGAAGTCCTCTAACTAAGCCAGCAACATAAACAGCTTCCATACCATTTTTGTAGATAATCCAGAGCTTCCAACCGAGCACCAATTTCAAATGTGATCCCAGGACGATGTGGAGGCTTTCTGCTCATCTTGATAGCTTCAATTTATCCTTCTTCTTAGCTATTCAAAGAAAGAGAAAAAGCATTCCTGGAATCAAAGAAAACATTTCAGGTGTGTTCCTACATACACTGAATTATATATCATGATTACAATAACCTTGTTCTCATAGCATACTAACGTAAAAAATTGTATTATGATGTAACATGGTGGCCTAATTCCCAAAACACGTAAAGACGTAATGTGGCTTAACTATTATTGCTTGTTAACTTTCTTCATGATTGTGCACATACAACCACAATGCCATATTCATGTATTTATCTGTTGACTACAGAAAACAACGTTAACCTAGATATTGGAACAAGTAGTCCTGCCTTTTTCTGAAAATCTCTTATAAATTCAAACAGGGTTTCTCCCAGGTAAGCACATACAGTACCGAGAAATCTCAGACTGCAGCCAATCTAAAAAATTGGGATATTGATTAGTTTCTCTCTGTTGATATTCACCAGTGGAGTAATCCTTTTGTGTTCACCTGAACTATGAATTTGTAAAACAGATCCCCAGTGTACAGATCATTACATAATACCAGTCAACACTTTTTATCAAGCCAGATAATGAAATGTAAGCACGCATCATGTTAATTTAACACAGCATCAACATATACCAGGACAAAGAGGTTTCCCTACACTTTCTACTATATATACAAACCCCATGGATTGGGAGAAAATGATCTCCACACCCTGGTGTGTGCCACGCAACAAATTTTCCAGGGATCAAAAAGAGTACAGGATGAATCTTCTATCAAACCATACCCTTCTGCTCAGGACTGGCTACACTAATCTGTTCCATACTGTTAAAGTTCAGCATAACTAGAAGGGGCTAAGCAAGGTGAAGCTGGTTTATCTGACTAGGTTTTAGGAGGCAGTATCTGAAACTGGAAGTCACTCACATATGAAAGTACAGTCCATATACCATGAAAAGTGAAGGATGGTTATGGCCTCTTCCAGGAATAAACATTTTTCCCCCTACTTCACCTTACCTCCAGGTTTTAGAACAAAAGCCCCCAGATCCATACTTTTAACCTTCCATTCTAATTAAGGGACTTAGATAACCCGAACCACACCCTTCCAGGCCGTCAGTTTGATTCTTCACGAATACAGGGAGGCATCCGTGCAGTTTTCTCGGCAGCAAGGACGCCTGTCTCCAGTATGCTTTCCCAACTGGGAACTCTTGGTGGTCTCCCATCCCAGGCAGCACCCTGCTGAGCTTGTCCCATTCAGACGCACCTGGCCAGGCACTGACACCCACTTAGGCAAAGCCCTTCATGGGGATTCAGCCACCCCAGCGGGGATCGAAGTCCCTCAAACTTCTGCCCCCGAAGAAATTACCCCAGTTATCTTTGCCCCCCGCCCAGAAAAAAAAGGGGGGGCGCCCGTTCCGCCCCGCTGAGGCGCCCCCAGCCCTTCTCGGCCCCGCTTCCGTCCCGCGCCACCTTCCAGGGCCGCCTTGG